AAAAAAAAAAAAGAAAGAAAAGAAATAAAAAATTGTTCTAGTTTTAAAAAATAAGCTCCATAAACACACCTCCCACCCATCTCTACAACCTCCAGCAGCAAAACATGGCCAGTGGACAGGCACCTAGTAAGGTCATCCATCCATCCCCATGCCCGTGGCCAGACTGTACCAAAGTCACTATGGGCAGATTACAGTCTCCCCGAAAGTCTTAGGATATTTCCAGGAGATGGTCAAGAACTAGTATCTCAAGTCTGGTTCCTTCCAGTCAAACCACAAGCTTCCTTTGGCAACGGCAGCTGCTCCCTCTCACGCACCTGCAGGGAGAACGAGAGGAGGGAGAAAGGCGGTGATCTAAGCTTACCTTAATGATCTCCTCGTGGCCATCACTGGACTCCACCAGTTCTGAGGCCAGAGAATGACCAGCTGAGCGGCCGGACACCATGGCATAGGTCTTCCTGCCCGCCTAGCAGAGAAACACAGAGAGAGGTGGCTCAGAAACCACATGGCCAGCCCAGAACTCCAACCCCTCAACCAATGCAGAAGACCTGCTTCTCAGAAGACTTGAAGAGTTAGTCTGGTTTTCCCCTCCAAAAATTCATTTCAGAACCTCTAACAGAAGCCACACAGCAGCAAGAACCCAGGACGAGGAAAATTAGCAGAAATCGCAGGTTAGTTTTAATGTTAGTGGGGGTTTCCCCATCCTCCAAAGCAGTGCGCAATGCTGAGGTCAGCTGGTATTTCTGAAAGGAGATGCTCCCAAGCTTGCGACAGCAGAGATGGCTCCAGGCAGCATGGGTGACGGATCAGCAGCAAGGAGGGAGAACTGGTGAGGGGAGGGGGCCTCACCCCACTGGAAATCTCAATACCTTCTGGGCTATGTGTTCAAGTTCATCCCCTGTCAGTTCACTCTGGAGAGTCAGCCTGAAAATGTCCACGCTGCCCTAATAATGACAATGACAGCAACAAAAACCCTTTACCTTTACAGTCTACAAGTGCAGGTGTGCTTCTGCCAACCTGTGGAGTGGGTCGTATCATCACCACTTCACAGATGAGGAAAACTGAGGTCCACAGAGATGGCGTTAGCTTGCCCACAACCAGGTGTTGGGATGTCTCTGGAGCCATCTGACGGTTCTCTTTCCACTGCACCAGAGACTACACAGCTCACTGCTCCACTCACAGCTCCCATGGGGCTACCCTGGTTCTCGGATTACAGGGAGCACGTTGCATGGACTTCCCTTCCCCCAGCTGTGGAGAGGTCACCCCTGGACTGGTCATTCCCAATCCAGAATTTCTGCTCCAGACAACCAGCCAGGAAATTACTGATGCACTTTACAAGACTAGTATATTCTTCCTGAATCAAACTATAGGAAAATACTTGAATTCAAACTCCTATTTGTATGAACCACATAGACAGAAATTATCCAAGTGAAAGCAGGTAAGATAATCGATATTTATCTAGAGATCAACCTAATTTCAAAGGATAGGCTGGGTGTGGTGGCTCACACCTATAATCCTAGCACTTTGGGAGGCCAGGAGCTCAAGACCAGCCTGGGCAACACAGAGAGACCCTGTCTCTACAAAAAATTTAAAAATTAGTGTGGTGGTGTGCCCCTGTAGTCCCAGCTACTCAGGACGCTGAGGCAGGAGGATCAGTTAAGCCCAGGAGTTTGAGGTTACAGTGAGGTTCAAGGTTACACTGTGCTCCAGCCTGGGTGACAGGGTGATACCCTACCTCCAAAAAAAACAAAAACTAAAACTAAAACACCTTGTGGGGAAAATAAAAAACCTGAAAGGAAAAACATATGGTGAGAGGGAGAAGTGGGGGCCTAGAGATTTGGGAAGACAACAACATTGACAGAGGGCCAGCAAGGCAGAGTGGACCAAACCTTCCCAATAACCCATCATCTGTGGAGGTGAATGAGGGGCTTAGCCATTTGGGTCCTCTGGTTCCCACTGGAAAAATAAGGGGTTGGACTAAGTATCTTTTAGGTACCTTCCAGATTCCATTCTGCGACAGCATGAGGGTGGAGTATAAGCCTCTTCCAGGCAATAAAGGGAAGATGGGTGCTGGGCTACCCAAGGAACAGTGACATTGAGGTCATCTGGTCATCCTCTGCCTCGAGGCCCAGGAGCATCAATGGCATCTTACCCATAACAGGTTTTAAGGAACCCTCCTAACCTTCCAAATATCTGGAGAAGACAACCTTCCAATTTGGTAGAGAAGAAATCAGTCTTTGGTCAGATACTTAACTCTTGGTGTTCTCTTCTGTAAAATGGGAATACTACCACACAACTGAGGGGGGTTTTGTTGAAGATTAATTGAAAATTTATAGAGGTTACTCTCTGCCAAACAGGAGGGAGGCATTCAAATATTAGCCTCCTCCCACTTCTTGGAATGAACCCAAATTTAGGAAAGACAGCCAAATGGCTCTTATGCCTTCCCAATCTTAGCAAAGTAGCTGCTCTTACAAAAACACTTAATTCCTATGAAATAAAAGCCAGATCATTAGTGTGGCATACAGAGCTCTCCATGGTCTGGGTCAATTCACGTCTCTTCCTACTGTCCCTCACTGCCCCCCATCCAATACATCCCATGCTTTCCAACTTCAGTGCTTTTGTTGCTGTCATTTCCTGTACCTTAAATATTCTTTCTTCCTATTTTCACCTGTGGCATCTGTAAGTCCCTCAAGAGTTCACGTTCAGGTGCCACATCTTCCATGATGCTACCCCTGCATCCTGTGGGAAACACATATTCCCTCCCTGAGCTCGACATCACAAGGCCTCCTATGGCATCTGCCTCGCAGTTATTTGTATGCCATGAGGAATTACTCCCCCAGCTGTTAACTCTTGAGGGCTGCAGTCTGCCTCAGCCTTTTACTAAGCACAGTGTTTTCTAAATGCACAGTGAATGCTCTATAACATCTAGGTCAAGAGAACATTATAAAAAAAGGAAGAGGAAATGAGTTCAAAATAGTCAGAATGACTGCCAACTCTTTTTCACTGGGACATACTTTGATTAAAACATGTACTTTGGGTTAAAACACAATCTCCCCGTACCTGGAGGCAGCTAGGAAAAGCCTGGGCATCCCTTAGTCAGAACAAAGGAATTATTAGCCAATGAAGGTCAAGTCTGGTTTATTTCATAAACTCAGGCATTCCAAATGAAGAGCATAGATAACAAGGCCAGGTTGGGGCACTGAGAGATTATCCCATCCATTCATGTCATCAGAATCCCAGACAAAGAGGAGAAAGAGGGTGAGTTGAAAAAGTACTTAAAGAAACAATGACTGAAAACTTTCCAAATTCGGCGAAAGACATAAACCTACAGATTCAAGAAGCCAAGCAAACCCCAAATAGAATAACACAAAATTCATGCCATGATACATCACAATTAAACTTCTGATAACTAAAGACAAAGAAAAAATCTTGAAAGCAGACGGAGAAAAATACGCTTTGGGGGCGGCAGGGAAACAATTTGAATAACAGTAGATTTCTCATCAGAAATGACAGAAGCCATAAGGAAGTGGTATAATGTTTTTCAAGTGCTGAATAAAAAGAACTATCAATCCAGAATCCTAAAACAAGAGAAAATATCCTTCAGGAATGAGGGGAAAATCAAGACATTCTCAGATGAAGGGAAACTAAGAGAATTTCTCACCAGCAGAATCTACACTAAAAGAATGGCTAAAAAATTCTCTAAACAGAAAGGAAACAACAAAAAAAAGAAACTTGAAATATTGTGAAGAAAGAAACAGAAAAAAGATGGGTAAATACAATGGAGGTTCCTTCTCCTCTTAGGTTTTCTAAGTTATGTTTGATGATTGAAGCTAAAATTATAATACTGATGTTCTAAACGTATGCAGAATAAATATTTAGAT